ATATGTACTATGTTTTTCCCCAAACATACATACCTATGATATAGTTTAATTTATAAATCAGGCACAGTAAAAGATGAACTGTAATCAAAGTTATGTGAATGGGTCTCAAAATAATCTTATTGTACTATACACACCTTTTCACTTAAAGGAAGCGCTTTGTGGCTTCTCTTTGGCATGTCTGAATTGCCAGCATCACTGATTTTGTGCTTGGGGGCCATTCTTTTTTTTTCTAATTTTTCTTTTCTTTATTGGTTTGAGAAAGAAAGGAAGGGAGAGGGAGAGAGAGAGAGAGAAACATCGATGAGAGAGAACATTGACTGGCTGCCTCCTGCATGCCCCCCACTGGGGATTTGGCCCACAACCTGGGCATGTGCCCTGACCAGGAATCGAACTGGCGACCTCTTGGTGCATGGGTCAATGCTCAATCACTGGTCCACACCAGCCGGGTTTGGGAGCCAGTCTTAAGTAAAATAAGCACTAGGATTCCTCAACAAGTGAACTGATAACCTAGGCAGCTGCCAATGGATGGGGAGTACGGTATGCATGAGAAAAAGATTAATCCCGTCCTGGAAGGGACTGTGTGGGATGGCATGAGATTTAATCATGCTACTTAGAACAGCGCACAGTTTAAAACATGACTTATTTCTGGAATTTTTTATTTAGTGTTTTTGGACCGCAGTTTGCAGGAAAGCGAAACCCCGGATGAAGGGTACTATTGTACTTCACTTACAAATCAAAAGATAGCAACTCTAGGCTGTATTTTAGGTTAGCTTTCCCTAGAATTAGTAAAAAACAAAACACTTGTGTTCATTCCCAAAGAATTGTGATTTGCTATTTTGTAGTTATTATATAGATTTGAAGTCTTCATAGCAAAATGAAATGATTTTTTTAGTTAAGAAATTTATGTCTTAGAATAGTAACCTAACAATAATGAATACATTTATACCCAAGGACTTGAATGAGTGCAGTTGGCTATTTGAAAACAAATCTTTGCCTTATACTTGAATGTTCATTATAATTGTGAATGTTATCTCCCCATGTTATGACAGAGAAAAAACATTGTTTTGCAGGCTCGCTAACAAATATTTATTGAGCACATACTGTGATGGTACTAGGAACTGTGCATTAGACACTGGGACTACCTGTTATTGTGGGTTGGGGAAACAGTTGTGTCCATTTTAGCTAGGATGGTCAGGGAGGCTCCTCTGAGGAGACATTTGAGCTGATACCTGAATGATCAAAAAGGAGGGACTTGCAAAGTTGGAGGTGTTGAGTTGAACTGAGTTCAGTGTGTGAGGGGATTACCATGTCATGCAAGGAAGAGGAAAATGTCTGTTGTATCTGAAATTGTATGAACAAGGCAAGTTGTTTTTCAACCCTTTTTTTCTAATTGACCCAACCCTCTAATTTTACCACAGATAGCTGTTTGGGTATTGTAAGTGTATCTTTTATCTGTGCTTTAAACATAAGGGGTTAAGATTTTTGCCCTCTCCTCCCACCACCTCCAACTAATTTTTTCTTTCTTGGGGACCATGTAGATAGACAATGCATGTCCTGGCAAATAGTTGAGACTTTTCTTGATGAAAAAAGAAATGTTTGGAAAGGCTTGGTATGGGCCACATAGTAATGTAAACTAGTTCATGTTTTAGAAAAGAATTTTAACTACTCATGGAGACTTGACTGAAGGAGAGCCAGAATAAAAGCTGGCAAACACATTGGGCCAATAAGGTGAGGTGGAAGGTAATGGTGGCATGGTCTACAAAGACTGTTGGTAATGTAGATACAGACGAGAAGGGAGAAGGCATTAATGGTGATACATAAAGTATGTCTGTGTATACTATTGATGAAAGCTTGGGGAAATGTCCTCTGAGATGTAGAGAGGTTGCTCTGTGCAACATACTTTATTGTAGGAAAGAAAGTCCTTTGGGAAATGAGAATCTCAAGTCTGATTTTTAACCTTGATATACTTTTGTTTCATGTTTTTTAGTTATTTGGGTATAATTAGATGATTACACACAACCCCACTCCCCAGTAACTTAGAATGTCAAAACTCTAGGTTCATTACAAGTTTTTATTTTGTCTCGGTAGGAACGTGTCCCCACCCCATATTTTGTGCCTTTTAATGGGGGTTCTGTTTTAAAGCCTGTCCACTCTTCTGCTATAGTAGTAGTGGTTATGATTGTTTCTGTTAGAATGAAATCATCTTTCTGCAATTCTTAGACCCTCTGAAATATGGAGGGATACTACTGTGAATTCCATAGGCCATAGGGACTCTGATACACAACATGTTTATGGCACTTTTGTTGAGTCTGGGAACAGATTCAGTCACGCTAGAGTTACTAGAATCAAAATGAGAGTTATATATGCCACAGTTGAATGTAATTGATGCAGAGTTATTGGGAATGTCTTTTTTTATCTTCACTCGAGGACATTTTTGCATTTATCTTCAGATGGAGCAGGAGAGAGAGAAACATCAATGTGAGAGAGAGAGAGAACAAATGGTTGCCACCCACATGGCCCCAACCAGGATTGGGGACAAAACTGCAACCGAGGCACATGTCCTTAGCTGGAATCGAACCCCGGACTCTCTGGTCCGTGGGCCGACTCTCTAACCGCTGAGTCAAACCAGCCAGGGCGGGAATGTTTTAATAAGCCCAGACGGTTCACACACCCTTCAGCAGGTACCATGTTAGGCGTTGCCACGGGAGACGTGCTGTACCCTGGGTTGTGATGAGATGCAGTGCACGTGTCGTGTTTGGAGCTTTTAGTGATGGACATTTCTTGAATTTTTTAGATGATGTGGAGGCACAGAAGTTTGAGAAGTGAGATTTATCACTAGTATTTTTGTCTTATCCTCTCCCCCCCCCCCCCCGAGATTTTCACTCAAGGATATGTCTTTTTTGATTAAAAGAGAGGAAGGGAGAGAGAGATAAACATTGACTGGTTACCTCCTGTATGCACCCCAACTGGGCATCGAACCTGTGGACTTGGTATATCTCCTTATCAGCAATTGAGCCTGCAACCTTCCAGTGTACTGGACAATGCACCAACCAACTGAGCCACCTGGCCAGGGTATTTTGTATCTTTTTAATACCTTATTTTTGTGTCTTTTGTTAATCTGGTTTGTATGCTCCAAATTTCTCTCGATAAAGCTGAAGTCTTGTGCTTTTTAAAAATAAGTTTTTGACAGACTCAGAGAGAGAGCAGGCTGATAGCTGTCTGAGCTAGGGGGCTGGCTGGAGGGGTATTGAGTAAAACCCAAAAAGGACCTTAAGGACTTGGACAATGGTGTGGTGATTTCCGGGGGGGGGGGGGGGTAGAGGGAGGGAGAATATAGGGGGGATAAATGGTGATGGATGTAGAATTAACTGGGGTGCTGAACACACAGTACAGTGTACAGATGATGTGTTGTGGAATTGGACACCAGAAACGTGTAATTTTGTTAACCAGTTTCACCCCAATAAATTAAAATAGAAAGTATATAGGGGAGGCATAAAAATGTGAATTTTTAAAACATTCTTCCTTTTGTTTTTTGTTTTTTTTAAAGATATGTTGTCATCTTGTGTTCAGAACAAAGAAGGAAAACATTTAACAACGTGCCCTTGCCAGTGTGGCTCTGTGGTTAGAACATTGGCCTGCACACTGAAGGTTCTCGGGTTCAAGTTCCAGTCAAGGGCACCTACCTGGGTTGCAGGTTCCATCCCTGGCCTGGTTGGGGTACATTTGGGAAGCACCCAATTTGTGTGTGTGTGTGTGTGTGTGTGTGTGTGTCAAAATCAATGGAAAAAATATCCTCAAATGCGAATTAACAAAAAAACCACATTTGACAACATTAATGTATTTTCATGTAAATGTAGTTTGGGGATACACTTCTAATCAGAAATAGGGTACCCCCCCAAATTGAGTGCTCCAGAGAGGACTTGCTAAGTGAAGCACTAGATACAGGAGGATTCTGACTGATGTTAACCATCTTGCTTCATCACTGATTTTGTTTACCACCTGTTTCCACCCTATTTTTATTTTTTTAAATATGTTTTTATTAATTGTTAGAGAGGAAGGGAGGAGGGAGAAACATTCATGTGGAAGAGAAACATCAACCAGTTGCCTTCCTTACTCATCCCACCTGGGGATTGAACCCAAAACCAGGGCATGTGCTCTGACTAGAAATCGACGGGTGACCCTTAGGTACATAGGATGAAGCTCAACCAGTGAGTCACACCAGCCTGTGCCACTCCCCCCCCCTTTTTTTTTTAATCCTAACCTGAGGATATTTTTTTCACTGATATTTATTTATTATCCTCACCCGAGGATATTTTTGTATTTATCTTCAGGTAGAGTGGGGGGGAGAAAGGGAGGAAGAGAGAGAGAAACATCGACATGAAAGAGACACATCGATTGATTGCCACCTGTGCAACCCCAAACAGGGCCAGGGTCGAACTACAACCTAGGTACATGATGCCCTGGGTGGGAATCAAACCTGGGACTCCCTGGTGCGCGGGTCAACGCTCTAACCACTGAGCAAAACTGGCCAAGGCTCCACTGATTTTTAGATACAATGATAGGGGAGTGAGGGGTCCAGAGAGAAACATTGATGTGAGAGACAACATTGATTGCTTCCCTCCCACATGACCCTGACCAGGCCAAGTATCGAACCTGCAACACAGGTACAGGCCCTTAATGAGACCTTTTGGTCTGCAGGCCGATGCTCTAACCACAAAGCAACATCGGCCTGGCTATCCTATTTTTAAATAGACTTTAAAACTGAACACTGGTGGTCAACACTGAACAGTGCAGGTTGTACTTGTTTAATGTCAGTAATTTTTCCCAAAAACAATGCTGTGATACCACTTACTGTACAAATCCATTTCATGGATTCTTCAAGTAATGTTTTCCTAGTAAGTTGATTTACATGGGATCTTTAAAGTAAGTGACAGTAGATGCTATTTTTAAGTGTATGGTGAAAAATCAATTGTTGACTATCATTTGGTAATTGTTTTCAGTGCCGCTTCATTCTATATGAACATGGTTTTACATTAAATAAATAACGGGGATTCTTTGATGTGGCAGTAATTTCCTTAACATATTGAACTTTTAAAGAAAATAGTGAAGGCTATACAGGTAAGTTCGTAATAATCATCTGTTTTCTAGAACTAGAAAAGTAATTTATTATTGTAGTCCAACTTGTTTTTAAAACAACGCCGATTATGCAGTGATAAGGGATAGTTTTGTTTAACCTTTCGAGGAGCAGTGCTTGAGAAATCTTAGATTATCACAAGAAGATGCTGCTGCTTTTTTAAAAAATTGAAATACCTTTGTAGGAATTTGGGGACAAAATTAAATTTGAAAATTTTCAGTGTTGTCTTTTCACTCCAAAGCCTTTGTTTACCATCACAATTGCTTTGCAAACATAACACATATATACAGGTCTGGACCCATGAATTTGTGTTAGAAATTATTAATTGAATATGTTTGATAAAGTCATCAATTTTTACTGTTAAATTTCATATGAGTCCTTGCTGAATTTTACATTTCTTTGGTAACTACAGTAAATGTTACTTATGACCTTTGGAGGAAAAGATTGTGTGTGTGTGTGTGTGTGTGTGTGTGTGTGTGTGTGTATCAATAAATCATTTTCCTGAAAAATATTTGCCATCAATGTGCCTTGTGGCTTAAATAAAAAGTTACAATCTTTTTTTCCTCCAATATTTTCTAGATTTTAGTGTTAATGTTTATAAATGATGATTCTTAACCTATTTACATGAATAGGGCCTTATGTGCTTATTTCTTGAGTTGCTACATGAATTTTAAACTATTTTTTTCTGATTCATTTATTTAAAACTTAAAGTCCTGCTTTTAAAAAATATTTGGACTACTGTCACTCAAAATTTGTGAGTTTTGTTTGATTTGACAGTGTTAGTTTTCATACGTTTCAGATCTTAAGAGCTTCTTTCCAGTCAGTCTACCCTCCATCAGAGGTAACCACTATTCTGTTTTGATCACCATAGGTCAGTGTTTCCTGTTTTTGAATTTCATATAAACGGAATTTTACAATGTAGTATATACTCTTTTGCCTGTGGCTTCTTTCACTCGACATAACATTGACTGTTTGAGCCTCATCTGTTGTGCATATGTCACTAGTTGTAGGTGCTTTTTGTTTGTCCAGTCTCTTACTGATACACTCTTGGAGTAGCTTCCAGTATGGGGTTATTATAAATAAAGCTGTTCTTGAACATTCTTGTACAATTCATTTACACATTTCATTTTTCTTGGGGAAAAACTCTAGGAGTGAAATTACTGAGTGGGGGGTATATGTATGTTTCTTATAAACTGTCAGACAGTCTTCCAAAGTGTCCTGCTTTACACTCCTATGAGCAGTGTGTGTAGATTCTGTTGCTCTGCATTCTTGTCTACACTCCGCATTGTCAGTTATGTTAGTTTTAGCCATTGTAGTGAGTGTGTAGAGATAAGTGGTTTTAGTTTACATTTCTCTAGTGGCTTCTCATGTAAGTACCCTTTCATATACTTTTTGGCCATTCAGATACCCTTTCTTTGTGTGAAGTACTTTTTCATTTCTCTACTCATCATACCCCCATTGCTAGTTACAGTTAGGTTGTGTGTTTTCATTGCTATCTGATGTAAACATTGGCCTATGTGTAACCTATGATATAAAAGTGTAGCTTCATTAGAATTCAGATGATATTGGGAATCCTGAATAAAATGTTCATATAACGGAATTTTGCTTTTTATGAAATGGAGCTGAAAGATACAAGTTATTCATACAACTTGGTTGGAAGGTCCACAGATTTGATGAAAAATCAAAGCCTTAGTTTGCTGTTTTTGTTTTATCACAAGTTTTCAGTACAGGAGTCGTGAACATTAAAGTGTTGAAAATTTTTGTCCTTTTAATTTCCAATTAAATATTAAGCTAATTGAAACTGTATTGTTTCATCATTTGTTCACCGGTTGAAATTGTATCGCATCAAAGAGTGGAATAAACTTGGTGTGTTGTCAAGTATTTTACAGATTGGCTTCTTTATGGGAATTTTCTCAAGTTTCCTTGCGAAATTAATGGCTTTGAGGTTTTGGCCGTTATTAACCTTTTTAATATTCTTTTACTCACATACTGTTTCACTGTACTGCTCATATTTTTTGCTGCTTAAATGCAGTCTATTAATTAACACTGGGATAAGATTGCTTCAGTAGAGAGTATCCTGCATACTTTGTTGTGAATTGCTTGTAATAAGTATTTGGCTTATTTATTGCTTTAATCTGTGCCTTGGTCATGAAGGCAAAGGATCATTTTCAGCTGTGTATGTCTCTGAGGGACATATTTGATAATGTGGAGCCTTGGCCCTGTGTTGAGCATGCAGATAATGCGATCCTTCATGGTTCTCTACCAGGGAGTGTCTGCTTCACAGGAAGCCTGTCTTTGAGGTTGAATTCCAGCAAGGTGTCTTAGAACTTGATCCCTTATTAAAGTCCTATTACTTGGGTTCTTAAAATTTTATGTTGTAATTTGAACAGCTTTGTAGAGTACTGTTCAGCCTCTATGCTTGTTGAATTATGTATATTTCAAACATTTCTTTCTTAGAATATATTATTTATGTAATTTATATATTACATAATGTAAACTATATGTAATATATGAATAATAGACTACTATACTCAGTAGAAAAGGATACCTTCTCTAACTTTAAGACAGAGGGCAGAATATTTGGTGCATTGTTACTGTTAAGAATGAATGAAGTTTGTATCTTCAGTGTTTTGTTTATGAAAAACATTTCATCAGAAAAGTATATGTGGTACTGGCTGTTTACATTTCTGACTATATAGAAAACCTTAGGGTGTAGTTAGAGATGCCTTTTCACTCTTAATACTTAAGGTGTTTTGGCACGGGAGGGTAAAATTCAGCATTAACTTGCACGTGGCTCTCATTGACCCAGTTTTATTATACAATTAATTAAAAACAGACTACTTTTATCCTAAGTGATGTCACATAGTCTTGTTACAGTTAAGTTTTAAGACTTTAATTAAAAGGAGCCTTTTTCTTTTGATGTAATTATTGGTTTTTCATATTTGACAGTATCATTTTGATGAACAGCTATTCCTTAGGAATATAAATATTGTTCTATCTTTGTGTATGAATTTTCTCACAGATTTAAAAATCCAAATTACCAGTACTACTGAATGGATACATCCCATGATGTTTTATCAGTGCTGATTATATAATGCAGTGTACCTGGTCACAGAGCCTGAGATTGGTTTTGAAAATTGTATTTGAGTATTGAGATAAGGCCCCCCTTTTAAGTCTAAATAAATATTGGCAACTAGTACTTGGTTAAATTCTAGATCACCTTCCAGAATTCATAAATATATGATTCAGTATATTTATGCAGTGTAAAATATGTGTTCACTTTTGTGAAAAGTTAAGACTTCGTTAAAAATGAAGTAATCCAGTTTAGTTTGTTGGATGTTCCATTTCTTCTTGTCAGCTTTAACTTTACCAAAGGTAATATATAGAAGTAACAAATTTGTAAAACCAACTTAAAACTAATTTTAGGAGCAGAGAGTCCTAACAAGTATCTTGCAATAGAATACTAGCTGTAGGTGGAAATATGCAAATTATATTTTTGTTATGACATGCCTTATTTGAAAAAATATTTAAGGTTTTATAACTGGGGCCATATGTCCTGTTGGATGGAGCATCAAGGTGTATTAATCCCCTTAAATTACACACAGATTTTTGTGTACATATTTTTATATGCATGTTTTTTGAATAGCATCATCCAGTCCTCAGGTGAATTTGAGACCTAAAGGGGTTTTGAAAACAATTCTAATCAAGGGTAGTTATTTCCAGTATTCTAGGGTCATGTACCCCTAATGGTTAAAAAATCTGAGCCACAAATCTGTGTATTTATAAATCGTAATTGTTCACTACTGTACTAATATTTCAGGTATGTTATAAGCCACACATTTTATAGGAATGAGATATTTGAGTGTTGAGATAGACAAAAGCTGTGCCCCAGTGAAAAACCTGAGGTACACACTCTTAGGGGAGAACATTGTTCCAAGGTGTTTGTCGGGCGGGTGAGTCTTTCTGGTGCAGAGCAGCAGACTTTTGTGTGCCATGCCTCAGTACAAGGAGAATAGAATTTTGTGGATACAGCAGGAATCAAGATTCTGTGTGGGATTTCGGATTATAAGTTTCTGAGCTTTCAAGAAGACCTACCTATGGAAATAAAAAAGGATTTAGCAAAATAGTCAATATTTTAAAGTCATTGAAAATTTAGTGTTTGGAATCGAATAGTGTTTAATGTCGCCAAATTGTAAAAGGGAACTGAATTTTAAGTCAGTCGATGTTCTTTGAGGAAATGAATTTAAGAAAAATCTTACTAAACGGAAATAATCAAATATGGTATAGATTTTAAATAGTATCTTAATGGAAACTGATTACTGTTCAGACTTTTAAGAAATGAGTTAACAGAAACTGGTTTATAAAAGGCTAAATCTGATTATTGTTTCCTAGGAGGATGAAAGAACACATGGGTGAAGCTAGCTACCTGAAATTCTGCTTCCAGCACAAATCAAGTTCAGAGATAAGGATGTGCTGAGGTCATTTCCTTTCAGGTGGGTATCTGTTGTAAATGTTCATTCCTTCCTTCCTAGTCTCTAGTGATTTTTCCTGGTGGAGACTATTGATTTAGTGAACATTTCCCTTTTCTCTTAGCAAGGATGGAGGTTTTTTTGTTTTTGTTTTAATCCTTACCCAAAGGTATGTTTATTGACTTGGGGGAGGGGGAAGAGAGCGAGACAGAGAAACAGAAACATCAGATCGGTTGTGTCCTGTACACACCCAGACTGAGGACCGAACCCAAAACCTAGGTATGTTCCGACTGGGAATCGAACAACAATCTTTTGGTGTACCAAACAATGCCCCAACTGCAACCCAGCCAGTCTCTGGAGATTTTTTTTAGCTCCAAAGTGCCCCTTGTCTTTCCTCACTGGTAGCAATGTCTTTGTCTATAGGTAAAACTGGACTGAAAATAGAAATGACATATTAAACATCTTACTTACTAAAGAAAAAAATATTCCCTCTTGGTATTCAGTGATCTGAAGCCTAAAATTTTAGTCTTATATTTCTTTGGAGAGACTTTAATCTTAAAATGGTTTAATAAAATCCACTTGATGCTAGGGGAATGGTAGGTCCGTTTCTCCCTTGCTGCTGTCCAGGCTTTGTAGAGGAATTTTATGGTAACATTTACATTCTGTGATCTTTGACAGAATTCAGATGATAGTGTATTGTCATCCTGATAGATCCAGAAAGTATTTATTAAGTGTATTCCTTATCTGGTGATGATAAATTCTTTTTTTTTGCTATCACAAGTGTGGTCTTGGGACCAGGAGCATGAGCATTACCTGAGCTTCTCATGAAGTGCGGAAGCTCAGGACACACAACACACACCAATCAGACAGCCTGTTTCAACAAGACCCAGGATTGGCATGCATGCTGAGGACCACTGATGTATGCATACCTTACCTTTGAGAAGTTGAACCTTTTTTAAAGTATCTGACACCCCATACAGACCCGAAGTATGATAGCTGTTTTTTGTATAGCTCTAGAAAATTTATGTTGGGCAGTGATGCTCAAAGCTAGTTATAACCTGGGAACTTGTTAAAAACGTACAGTCTCAGCTCCACCCTTGCTCTACCGAACTAACTCTTGGGGTAGAATCCACGAATGTTTTTTTGTTTGTTTTTTAAAGCCCTCCAAGTAAATGTGATTTCTGCTAGAGAACCACTGACCTATGGGTGAAGAAAAAAAATCTAATATACGTAAGCTAGATGTGCCACACCAAAGATGTGGCATTGTGTGGCCATCAAAGAGAGAGCTTGTCAAGTGGATTTGTCATGGGAACTTTAGGATTTTAAAGAAAAAAGGGAGTGAATTCTGTTGATTTACAGTAACTGCTTTTCATCACAGAATTTTATTTTCTAGTCAGTGAAAAGACTGGTTTGTTCCAGGAAGATAACTAAGTTTTATTAACTTTCTGAACATTAAAAATGAATAAAATACCAAATACACATTTAATTCTGGTAGTAGGAAGTGACTTGGCAGTTCCCTCCTTCAAAAATCTGACTTAAAACATTGACTTCATCTTCAAGTTATCCTTTCAAACAGTGGTTCTCACGCTTGGAGGTGCAGCAGAATCACCTGGAGGGCTTGTAAGAGCAGACTGCTGGCCTGGTGTGCGTTGATTTGAGCCTGAGAGTTCTCATTTCTACCTAGGTGGAGTGGCTCTGGTTTGGGAACCACTGCTTTTTAGTATTAACATATTTACCCCCTCAGGTGCTTAATCTCTATATGAGCTCTTAACAAAATGCTGGTTCTAGAAGCAAGTGAATTATTGAAGAGCACTTTAAAATAGTTTAAAAAGACTGATTCAGTTCTTGAAATGTTTTTGGGTCTGCTGCTCAGTGACTCTAACTCAGCAAATTATTTTCTTTATAATGGAATGCTTGTAACGATACAGGAGAAAAAAGCCAGAAAACCAATCTTACTTCATTTGTGAGTTTATTACTCCATATAAGCAATGCATGGATATATGAGCAGTAACACTTGACATATAGAAAACTAGGCCTCATGGATAAGTTTTCGATAGTTAAAATATCTGGAGTGGTGCAAACTTTGCATTCAGTTTTTGCTTCTGTTTTATGTTAAAGATGTGTACCTACTCCTTGTGCAGTCTTCCTGGTTAACGTTGGGAGGGATTATGGTTGCAGCCCACAGATGCAGGATAAATGACAAACCTCCCCTTCAACTCTTGGTAAATGGAAACTATTGGAGGGATTTTTACACCCCATAGCTTGCAATTTTGGGTCAGTCCTCAAGATAAGGAACCACTCAAGAAGTTTGTCGTTGTTGAGAAAAGCCACATTTTTTCTAAAGCATATTATCTTAGCCCAATGAAAGAAAATAATGGGTGATATGAGCAAGGCAGAGATAATATGTTGTAGAGTAATGGAAATTATATTCTTTTAAAAATATGTATGTTTTGATTTTTTAGAGAGAGAGTGGAAGAGAGAAACATCGGTGTAAGAGTCACATCAGTCAGCTGCCTCCTGCACGCCCCCTACATGAACAACTGTAAACCTACTTTTACCACACCCTCTATATCCTGCTTCTCTGCTGTTAGCTAACCAGCTGTCTTACACTTTTCTGTTTCTCCCAGGTTTTACTCAAAGGCTAGAGTTTCATGGTAAATGTTTTATGAGGCCCTTTTATCTTACCGTTAATAGTCTGCCAGCCCTAGTAAGTTCTCCTGTGACTTTTCTTTTTTTTTTTTTAATTTTTTTAATTTATCCTCACCCGAGGACATTTTTCCATTTTTTGTTCAGGTAGAGTGGGAGGGAGAGAGAGGAACAGAGAGAGAGAGAGAAACATCGATGTGAAAGGAACACATCGACTGGCTGCCACACCCGCACAACTGACCAGGGCCGGGGACAAACTACAGCCAAGGTACGCGCCCTCAGCGGGAACCGAACCCGGGTCTCTCAGGACCGCTAACCGCTGAGCCAAACCGGCCAGGGTTCTCCTGTGACTTTTAAAGCTAACTATAATGGTGAGAAGAATTTTTTTTTAATCCTCATTTGAGGATATTTTTTCATTGCCCTTTTTTTTTTAGAGACTAAAAGGGAAGAGAGAGAACTATCAATGTGAGAGAGACATATTGATTGGTTGCCCCCCACATAACCCCCCCACCAGGGCAGAGATTCAAACCTGCAACCCAGGTACGTGCCCTTGACTGGGAATCGAACCAGAGATCCTTCGGTACACAGGCTGATGCTCCAACCGCTAAGCCAAACCAGCCAGGGCATGCTGAGTAGAATTTTAAAAGCAGCACCTGAGTTTCAAATTGCAACCTCCTGACATTCCAGAGTAAATTCTACAAACTTAAGAATTCAGAAGGGAATGACATGAGAAGATAATTGTATGAAATTGAATAATTTCATATTCCTGGACTAAAACCAAACTCCCCATTTAACTATAATCCATCATTTAGTGAATGTTATTAGGTACTTCTGTTTGGTACTAGGTATTATAGATAAAAAGAATGTGTAGTGTGCCATCTATATCCATAGTCAGAGTAGACTACATCTAAATGGTTTAGTTAGGAAGTTAAATTGATTTAAATAAACCAAGTATATGTCCTTATGTCATTATACATTGGAAAGGAGTAATGGCTGAGAAGTGATTTTTCTTTTTCTAAAGATAAAATTTAAGTGCCCTGGCCAGTTTGGCTCAGCGGTTAGAATGTCAGCCCACATACCAATGAGTCACGGGTTCGATTCTGGTCAAGGGCATGTAACCTCGGTTGCTGTTCGTCCCCAGTCCTGGTTAGGTTGTATGGGAGGCGACCAGTCGATGTGTCTCTCATATTGATGTTTCCCTCCCTCCCTCCCTCCCTCCCTCCCTCCCTCCCTCTCTATCTGAGGATAAATGGAAAATTATCCTCGGGTGAGGATTAAAAAAAAAAAAAGATAAAATTGAAGCAAAAAGCTATGTACTAATTGCTTTTCAGGGAGTCTGGCCAGAGTAATGCATCCTATTTGTGATGACCTGTTTAACCAAAAGCTCGCCTATGGCCACGATCATAAGCTCAGGTATGTGTTCTGTGTTATATACATTTTATACAAGATTACTTTGTTTTAACTATCTGTGTACCTTTTGGTAAGGTGTTGCTTAGAAATTGCTTTGTTTCTCAGAGAAATCATTGTCCACACTTTGTACATATAAGAAAACAGAATATGCAGCATTTCCCACTCAGGTGTGCTTTTGGAGAAGGTACAGTTCCGAGCAAAACAACTGTATTAAATTGTGTGCCTCTACCTGTATTCCTAGTTAGAAGACATACTTACTAGCATGTCTGACACAAGATGGATAGAGGCTGACACAAGACAGCGTAGCAACCTAAAACTTTCATGTTCTCTGACCCTGGTTCAGCTGAAATAACTCATCCAGTTTCCCTTTTAGCCCTTGCTGACAGCTTCTCAGCCTAAACTAAAGGAACTGTGTTCAGATTTTCTACTTGCTTTTTACCCTAGATATGCTCATTTAATAGGTTCTTGTAAAGTTGTTATCGGTTTAGGTAGGATTTTGACATAATAGAAATTTTCTTAAAAATCTTAAGTACTACCCTGGCCGGTTTTGCTGAGCGGTTAGAGCGTCGGCCTGCGGTCCGGAGAGACCCGGGTTCGGTTTCCGCTAAGGGCACGTTCCTTGGTTGCAGTTTGTCCCCGGCCCTAGTTGGTCGTGCGGGTGGCAGCCACTCAATGTGTCTCTTTCACGTCGATGTTTCTCTCTCTCTCTTCCTCTCTCCCTCCCACTCTATCTGAACAAAAAATGGAAAAAATGTCCTCGGGTGAGGATTAAAAAAAAAAAATCTTAAGTACTGTTGCTGACTCAACTCTCATCTTTTTTCTGGAAAGCTTTGAAAGCAGATCCAGTACCAGTACAAAACTGAATATAGGTGAAGGGAGTTCATCTCCAGCCATCATTTAGCTAACAAACTACACATTTGGTATCTACCTTGTTTTGAGATAAAAAGAAAACAGTAAGACCAACATTGTGGTATTCTAATAAGAAAACTGTAGGAAAGACAGTTTTAATTTGTGTTGTAAACAAAATGTATAGGGTCTATCTAATATATGATATTCTAAAAGATTTTCATTAAAATTGTAACTCATACGATTATAAAACTAACCAGAAACTAAATTTAATATACGATCTAGACAGAACCTGATGTATTAGTTTTCCAAACTTTTTTTAATGCAATGCAAGAACCAGTTCTATGGAAAAGTCTATAGGAACAGTAACCCTACATGAGGCACCCTGGCAAAACTTCCCTGGCGTTCAAAGTAAGGACACGTGTAATACTCCCTTTTAGGCCTCATAATGTTCTGGTTGACATTTTTTCTATTTCTTAGGTTCTAATCTTTTCAATATAACTGGAAGCATACAAAGTTGTCACCTCCGACTTGGGATATGTAGGAACTACACATTAGAAGATCAGACCTCTTCACTCACGTTTTAAGGGCAGCAAATTTTCACTTTATTTACAGAAATGTACTTGGGGTGGTAAAAACTTTCAAGTTTAAAAAAAAAAAAGACTTTAATTTTCTTAAATAATCCTTGTATGTACCATTCCACATTGTGGAAAACTGAAGTATGCAGTTTGGACACAATACCAACTTCAGAACACTGGCACAAATACTTACAGTTCTGTATTTTATAATATATTAGAATACCATGTCCCACATTAGAGACTGTAACAGATGGTAGGCCTTAAACTGCATGAAGTTTACAGATGAAACTTGAAGCTTGTAAGTGTTAGCTGTGCCAGAATCCCAAACTGCTTGGAAGAGAGTATTTAAAAATAGGTCTGAAAGCCAGTCCATCCCAGTTCTTTGTTTGGTCATTGTAGCTGCACTCTGTATGCACCTATTAGCAACTTCACCTATAAGAAGCAAAAAAATACATATGGATCAGCACAGGGGTAGTTCCCCTTCCTTAGAAGAGGGGAGAAACACACATGCCCAAGACTTGTTCCTCTTACTTATTTGCAATACTCTCAAACTGGTTATCAATGTGGGTGATTAGATTATCACCATTTTAATAAAAAATCCAAGTGCTTATAATTTAAATTTTAGTTATTGTATTTAATACTATACTTAAAAAATATTACACAGATACCAGCTTCATTTTACAAAGAAGAGAGGTTAATAACTAGCTGAGAGACATTCTATGGCACTTAAATACCAAGTTCAGAACAGAACCCAGACTGCTAGATACTGTAGAGATGCAGTAGATTTTATATTTGCCATGTTTTAGATTTGGATAAGTGCACCTTGCACTGCTACCTGAGGGAGCACAAGTCTCTAGGACAGGCATACCAGGAAACCGCAATGTGACAAAGTTACCTAGAGGAACAAGTTTAGTAGGAACACTGAATATGAGGGAAGACTTCTCACCTTAGCAGAGGGTGCTTCTGTCAACCTTATGAAGAGTTTATTGAGTCCTGCAACAGGACTGAACGAGTAAACGAAATGACTATCCTAGGGAAAGAGACCAAAAAAGATTGGTATTTGTCCCAACATCCATATCTAGAAACAGCTAGGTCAAGTCAGAGATCTTATCTGAAGAGTACAGAAACCTTTAAAACTACAAGTTTTGTATTTTTTTTTTTTATCCTCACCCGAGGACATTTTTCGATATTTTGTTCAGATAGAGTGAGAGGGAGAGAGAGAGAGAGAGAGAAACATCTACGTGAAAGTGACACATCGAGTGGTTGCCACCCACACGACCCAACCAGGGCTGAGGACAAACTGCATTAGCGGGAACCGAACCTGGGTCTCTCTGGACCGCAGGCCGACGCTCTAACCGCTGAGCCAAACCGGCCAGGGCCAAGTTTTGTATTTGAATTCATGAGGCAATGAGCTGTGATTTCTTTCATTTTCCCTTGATTTATTAAAAAATACAAATGACAAAATATCCAGGTAAATATTTATAATTATAATGTAATCCAGTCATGAGTGTTAAAGAGGCCAACGAATCATGCATTGAGGTTCTATTTTTTTCTTTCTTTCTTTTTTTATCCTCACCCAAGGACATTTTTTGACATTTTGTTCAGATAGAGGAGGAGGGAGGGAGGGAGGGAGAGAGAGAAACATCGACGTGAAAGGGACACATCAAGTGGTCGCCACCCACACAACCCAACCAGGGCCGGGGACAAACTGCAACCGAGGTACGTGCCCTTAGCAGGAACTGAACCCACGTCTCTCCAGACCACAGGCCAACGCTCCAACCGCTGAGCCAAACTGGCTAGGGCTATTTTTTCTTTCCTTTTTTTTTAATCCTCACCTGAGGAGATTTTTCCATTTTTTTATTCAGATAGAGCAGGAGAGAGAGTGGGAGGAAGAGAGAGTGAGAAATGACATGGGGAGACACATCGAATGGTTGCCACCCACAGGACCCCAACCGGGGCTGGGGACAAACTGCAACCAAGGTACATGCCCTTGGGGAAATGAACCCGGGACTCTCTGGTCTGCAAGCTGACACTAACCCCCGAGCCAAACCTGCCATGGCCCTGCAATGGTTGCAATTGGGTATTTGAAACAAGAACAGGTATACTTTCTTCCTTTATGTATTTCCCATACGTGAACATTTATAATTATAATGGTGGGAAAAGGCATAATATTTAAAATTGGTATGTTTCTTGTATCATAAGAATTTATATTCTGAATGTTACTTTTAAGTCATTATGATATACATTTAGAAAGGCTTTTGACAAAATTTAGGATTACAGATTATTGCCTCATTTCCAACAACAGGTTTAGTGAATTGTAATTAACATTTAATTAAAACAGCAATTTAAGTCATGTTTTGGTTAGAAAAAATGTACTTTTCAGTAATGAACTACAGAAAAAACTTACCAGAAAAACAGGAAGTTGAAATTTATCATTTAAAATTACAGCCTGTACACTACAAGGTCCACATAGTCGAGCAATAACATCTTTACCCAAGAAGTTTGCATGGAAGATGAACAGCAGGATGCCAGAGCCTAAGCAGGGGAAATGCAAACAGATTTTTAACCCAATCCTTGAACCTCCACCTTCCAGAACCCTAAGGTGCGGGGTGGTAGGAGATGAAGAATGGACATGTGGAAGCGCCCCAGCCAGCCTGTGTGCTATCGCACTTGCCCTGCCCACTCTCTCCTCCCCAGTGGAAGAGCCCTCCAATTTCTGGCCAGGGCCCTTTTGCTTTCTCTATTCTGGTCCCAGGGGGGAAAGGGCACACTTTGTACCTCTCTTGTCAACCTATGTAAGGTTTGATAGTGATTTTGCCTCCCAGCTTTACATTGCCAGCTGTCCGCATGAATAGTCAAAACTACAAATTATGATTCTTCCATAAGAAGTTATGAATGGCTGTCTTTATTGGTAGGGCTAGATTTTTTTGAATACACATAGTTTTAAATGGGTGGAAGTTTTTTCTTTTTCTTATTTAAACAAAACAATAAAAGCCAGAGCCAAGCTTTCTACTTTTAGGCAGACTCCACTTTGTGTGTGGCACCTGTGACCTAGAGAAGGCATGGTCCTGCAGCCTGCAAAGCAGCGCTGAAGTTTCTATTTCCTGCTATTAAATATTTAAAAAGTCAAGACTATTATCAATAATAAAATCTAGAACAAAACATTGATTCTGGGCTCAGAATCTAAGAATTTTAATAAAAACTAGTATAATTACCAAGACCAAACTTGCGTATTTTTTTTGGTTAATCCTCACCCAAGGATATTTTTTCCATTGAATATTTTAGAGTGGAAAGGGGAGAGACACAGAAGCGTTGATGTGTGAGAGACATTGACTGGTTGCCTCCCACACCGAGGTACATGAGCACCCTTGACCAGGAATTGAGCCCATGACCCATTGGTGCATGGGCCGATACTCTATCCACAGCCACACCAGCCAGTGCCAAACTGCCATACTTTTTAAACAAGTTATAATACCTGTGAGGGTCCTATATTCTGTAGACCCTCAAAGTCACCTGGTCTTTCTGCACTGTAACTCTGCTGTTAATTATGTAAAATAGTTAAGATTTGCCTAAAGAAAGAATTCTGTCTAAAAGTCAATTTCTAGTTACAGTGTCACATTTCAAACTGAGAAAATGTAGACTTACCTTCTGGTATGTTCTGTGGAGGTTTATAATTGAAATCCATTGAAAAATCTGGCCCCTCACAGAGACGATGACATGCTATTGGAAAAACTGGCTCTAGAAGAACAAGGCGTGCTTCAAAGTAATCCTTTATGGTTTCTTCTGCTACTCTTGATAGTCTAATCAGAAAGTATATAGTAAGAGTTAATATTTAAAAAAGAATCGGGCCAGCCCTGGCCAGTTTGGCTCAGCGGTTGGAGCGTCGGCCTGCGGTACAGAGAGACCCGGGTTCGGTTCCCGCTAAGGGCATGTACCTCGGTTGCAGTTTGTCCCCGGCCCTGGTTGGTCGTGCGGTGGCAGCCACTCGATGTGTCCCTTCACATCGATGTTTCCCTCTCTCTCTCTCTCCCTCCCGCTCTATCTGTACAAAAAATGGAAAAATGTCCTCTGGTGAGGATAAAAAAAAATAAAAAAAATAAAAAAGAATCGGGCCATAAAATTATTAAACTGTTGAATCCAGATTAATCTTAAAAACAACACACAATTCCCTCAGCCCACTTCCCTGCCCTCAGCATCTGACATGCCATTTGTCTTTCTTACTCTGTCCTCTCCCAGGAATTCGGGTTGTAAAAAGGCAAGTCTTACCCCCACTCCTTCTCCCTCTATCTCCCCAGCAGTCTGAATAGTGCCTGGCACATAGGCAGTGTTCAATACATATCTGGCTAATGAAGGATCAATTTGGAGCATTAGAAATGAGAATGCTATTAAAAAGGAAATTGAATGAAAGTTGTATATAAGTACTTTACTCTTGCATCTTCTCAGTTGTTTCTTCCTTGTGTTTGCCATTTTCCTACTTGGCGAAGTCTGGCTTTACACTCAAGGATAAGGATTATTTTAAGGGGTGAATGCCTACACGAGAAGTTGTACCATTAGCTTTCTACAGGCTGCTCGCGTTCATTGCAAATAATGTATTTCTTCCTGTAAACCTCGACTACTTTGCCAATATGCTGCCCTTTGTCATCCTTTTGGATGGGCATGGCTCGAACACAGTACTTCTGTCTCAACTCTCTGGAAACAGGAGGATATGTGGGAAGGTGCATTGAAATGCCTTTTATGGTTCTTGTCGTTTTGACTGCTGGTGCTTCAGCGATGGCAGCAAAAGGGCAGAGAATGTTTTTAAACTATCTCTCTAGGAAGGGTAACCAACTCATCGGGTTTGCCCACCATCCCAGGAATTCCCTCTATCTGATGCAGACCACAAAGGCTGGTTGCCCTACTTGCAGACTATCTAGAATTGTTACCCATGTGAACACAGACAGGCTGGCTTCCCAGGATTTCTTGCAGCCATAATCATTGGTCACTCACACACAGAAATTATTGGTTTGCTGAGTTTCCATCAAAGGCTGTTAAAGGGGGCACATTCACTTTATTTTGGCCTTTGCCTTTCTTGTGTCTTGTCCAAAATTGACCTTACTTTCTGCTTAGACTTGCAAACATGAACATCCAAGTCATATTTGATAGGAGTTATGGTGGACAAGGAAGAGAGGCTATTCCTACCCAAGGCTGCTTACCCTCCTATACTCCCTGTCATAAGGATAATAAACACCTTACTTGTGTTAGCTACTGTTTGTGACATTTCTGTTAACGTTGCCAAAATAAATGACTTCGAATTGATAAACTGATGCATCCAGACAATGGAATGATATTCAGCACGAAAAAGAAATGACCTATAAAGCCATGCAAAGACACGGAGGAAATGTAAATGCAAATCATTAAGTGAAAAATCTGAAAAGAATGCATGCTGAGATAAACCAAAGAACTTATGCATACATGCATAACCAATGGACACAGACAACAATGCTGGGGGTAGAGGGACAGGAGGAGGGTGTCAATAAGGGAAAAAGGAGAAACACCTGGCCCTAGCTGGTTTGGCTCAGCAGTTAGAGCATCTGCCCATGGAGAGTCCCGGGTTTGGTTTCCACTAAGGCAGCGGTTCTCAACCTTCCTAAGGCTGCGACCATTTAATACAGTTCTTCATGTTGTGGTGACCCCCAACCAGAAAATTTTTGTTGCTACTTTATAACTGTAATTTTGCTACTGTTATGTCTTATGCGACCCCCAGGGTGAGAACTGCTGCACTAAGGGCACATACCTCGGTTACAGTTTGTCCCTGTCCCCGATTGGGGTCGTGTGGGGGGTGACCACTCGATGTGTGTCTCTCACGTCAATGTCTCTCTCTCCCCCCCTTCCTCTCTGTCTGAAGATAAATGCAAAAATGTCTTCGGGTGAGGATTAAAAAAGAGAAAAGAAACATCTGTAACAAAAATAAATTTAAAAGAAAGAAAAAGAATACACACTGACATTCTGGAAAAGGCAAAAATATGGAGACAATAAAAAAATCAGTGGTTTCCAGGGTTCGGTGGGGAGAGAGGAATGAATAGGTAGAGTATGGGGGACTTTTAGGGCAATGAAGCTATTCTGTGTGATACTATAATGGTGGGTACATATAATTTATTCAGTTGTCAAAACCCATAGAATGTACAACACCAAGGTGAGCCCTAACAAACTAAGGGTTTCAGATGATAACTGTCCACGTAGGTTGGTTCATTAATTGCACCACTCTGGTAGGGAATGTGCCTGTGTTGGGGGGCAGAGGTTCTACAGAAAATCTCTGTACTTTCTGTTCAATGTCACTGAACCTGAAAGTGCTCTAAAAATTGTGTCCATTAAATAGAATAAACTAAAACATAAATTCAGGAAAATGTTTGTGAGCCATTAAAAGCCTAATCAAGCCCTGGCCAGTTTGGCTCAGCGTTTGAGCGTTGGCCTGCGGACCAAAGAGTCCTGGGTTCGGTTCCTGCTAGGGGCATGTACCACAAAAAAAACAAAACAAAGCCTAATCAAGATTTTAAGGAGATGCTCCTTGATAGGCCAGTCTGAAAGTTTCTAAGTCCTCAATACTTGCAGAGAAATAATTCAGATGGTCTTTTGAGAACAGAAGCCCATCAGGACCTCTACTTGACAATCATTTTCTGAGTAGGTATATATACAAGCCATTCCAGAGAGAGAGAGAGAGAGAGAGAGAGTCAAAAATAATGTACACACAAGCCATTCCATTGTGTGTGTGTGTGAGTGAAAAATAATTTAGAGGACCTGCTCCAGGAAAGGAGATACTGTATAGTTTAATATAAACTAGTGAAAGATAAACAAAGTCTTTTTTTTTTTAAATCCTCACCTGACGCTATGTGTTTTTATTGATTTCAGAGAAAGAAACGTCGATTGTTTGCTTCCTGCACACACCCTAATCAGGGATCGAACTCACAACCTAGGTACGTGCCCTGATCAGGAATCGAACCTGAAACCTTCTGGTGGGATGACATTCCAACCAATTCAGCCATCGGCCAGGGCCAGACCATTCTAGTTCTGATGTGTCCAGCCCTGTACAGTCACAGAACACTTACGTGTCTAAATGATTCTTCAGCAAGTCGTACACCAACACATTGTTACACTGCTTTGCAAAATGCATTGCACTATTTTGGTGCTTTGACAAAATATTACAGTCTGCTCCACATTCAATTACAAGTCGTACAATATCCGAATTTCCCCTTTTACAAGCCTATGTCAAGGAAAAAAAAAGAAGTGATGATTAACTAAATAAGGTAACTACCAGTCAGTGTTTGTCACTTTCTTCACGCGTGAACCAGCCTGGGAGTTCTTTGTGAAAAGAGGGAAAGAAAGTTGGAAGAAACCTGGAGTTGGGTCTCCTCAAGGGTTAGAAATGTTGATGTAAATAGGAGGGGGACCAATACAGAAATGTGTGCTACATTCAAAAAGATACTTCTAGCCCAACCCAGAAGAAACACCAGGCCTTTCTAAGCTCTACTCCCAGAGGAGCAAGCCTGCCCCCCGCTCTTAGAAATGTTAGTCCTGGATATCTAAAGCACCTCTAGGCATCACAAACTCTCAGAAATTTTCCTATTAGCTGCTCTAAAGGATACTAATGAGCATGGATACAAGTATGAATTTAGAAAATCTAGAGTGGTGCTGAGACACACTTCAAAGACCACCCTGGAGCATCTGTTTAGAATTCACCTGGTGATTTCTCAGGAAGATCAATGCTCTAAACAGTTGGCAATATTACAAACACATAATGGGAAACAAATTCAGAAGTAGATTCCTGAACAAAATAAACATCTCCTTGAGACACCAATGATACAGGAAGTAGCAGTGAGCCAGGTTTAAACCCCAAGTGTGGAAGAAGGCTGAGGTGGCCCAGATGTTTAGAAGAATGGATTAGACAGCAGACTCAGGCAACCCACTGTTCACCTGGCTGTGGCCACACTCAATTTACTGACTCATGAAAGAAGGCTGAAAACGGAATGCAGACAAATGCCACACGTTCACAAAGCTGTGTCTAGGGAGAGGGCGGCAGCAGCCTCCACCCGGGGAACTAAACCACTACTAGGTGTTAAGAACTGCTATGTCCTAACAGCATGTTAGACCAGGAACCTAGAAATGCCCCAGGAACAGGCTAAAACATGCTGAATTTGCCCCTGTAGATGTAAATGCAAAACCACTAACAATGGGGGTAATACAGGAATACGTGGGGGAGGCTTTAACAACCTTCCACTCAAACCTATCTGCAAACCATAATCACACATGAAGGAATGTGAGACTAAAGAGATTAACTTACTATTGAAAACTAGAGTGCAGCCTCCACTTCCCCATGCCCTGGGCTCTGCACACAGCCCACTCCAGTTCCCATTTGCATAGTCCATCCCCAATTCAGTCACCCGAAAGCAGCCTGGAAGCCACAAGACTGAGCCTGGGCTGGACTTGGAGGTAATCCTTAGCCCCATGCTTATGCCAATGGTCTACTTTTCCCACTCATCCGTCAGTCCAGAGACTGTCCTGTTCCCCACCATGTCCCCAGACCCTAGCAGTCAGGAGCCCCAACACGCACATCTGAGAGATGGAGGGGATGAGTCACCATGTGAGGCATTTACCTTCATTAAAGCGGTCTCGCCATTGCTCTGCTGGACATTCACAAAAGCTCCCGCTTCCAAAAGAATAGCCACTGTAGTTAAAAAGTTCTATTAAAGAAAAACAAAAAAACAAATCTGATTCTTCAAATTCTTTAAAAGTAGGATATTTTTGGATGTTTTGAAACTTTTAGCCATCAGGAAAAAGACAGATTGTACCCCAAGAAGGTAGGTGAACAGTTTCCTGATTCTTTACTATGCAGGGTTCCTGTGAGAGCCGGGGGTGCTGTGGTTGGTGCCCTGCCCAGGCCCCATGCACAGCCACACACTTTTTGCCAGCAACTTCAATCTGAGGTTTAACCACTGCTTTCTACATACCACCTCTGCATAGCAATCCTTTAGAAAGATGATAATATGGGAACATTTTAATTAAATTATTAACCAAAAGGAACACATTTTCAATTGGAAAAGATTTGTTAAAAGACCTACGATCGAAATTGATTGTAGTACCTTAATTAGAGGTTCTGTTCAATATAAATCACTTCCAACTAGATAATCATTTTGAAAATTCAACTGCAAAGTTCTACTGTTGATAAAAAAAAAATCCATTCATGACAACTCATAGATGAACTGAAATATAAAAATTTTAAGTTGACTACATGACTTGTTATATTTCACTACAGAAACAGATTGTCTTAGTCCAGGAGCAAGAATTCCTGTGAAGACTATGAAACAGCTGCACTGTGAGTGACTGACCTTCTCAGCGGCGTGAATGAGGGCGGTGGTCCCATTCTTCTGTCTGCCATTCACCCTGGCTCCTTTTCTGATGAGGAGCCTCAGCAGGTCGTCCTGCCCTCCTGCCGCAGCCAGCATCACCAGTGTCATCCCGCTCGAATCCTTCATGGGTTTAATCAGAAAAATTCTAGAATTAAGTTCTTGTCATCTAGAGTGTTTCAATATGAAATTATTAAAGTGCGCTGATATAAGTATCTACTTACCTTTTTCATTAAAATATGCTAATAAATAAAAAACTAGTAACCTTTAGAATTTTTTAATGTTACCATAACATTTTATAACTTCCTTAAGTTCTAAAGGCATATCAATACTTTGCACAAACCTTGATGTCATCTAAATGGCAAAGGTAGTACTTCCTTATCCCAAATTTCAAGTCTAAAAGTTTCCTTGTGTTCTAGGCAAAACTCATACAGTGATTATATTCATTTAGCTGGCCCAAAGATGTAAGGCTAGAAATGGCCACTGGTCACCTAAACCACTGTACTGAGGACACAATGACATAAATGCTCTGTGGGTTAGATGACCACTGCTAACTGCTGGGAAGTGAGTTTGACTGCTTTAAGGATAAAAAAGATTCATAAGTAGGAAACAGGATGCTTTTATGACAAAACTGAGTAAAAAAATGGCTTTGAATAAGATTAAATTACATTTGGTGAACAATAATAAAAAGGTATCTATTAGTTAAAATATTTCCAGTTGCTAGTTGAAGAGAACATCAGATGAGAAACAAAACCATTAATTAAATACCACTTGATACAACCAGATTCCAATAGTATGAGTTACTTTGGTTATAATCTGAAAGTTTTAGCAGAATTTGCCAGTATGAGTAATCTGAGGGAACAAGAATGTAAGAAAAATTGTTTCTAGCAGTAGCACTTTCTCATTTGTAAAGATCATTCTAACTTTAGAAAGCTCCCTGCAGGCGTCTGACGAAGGGCTGGGAGGAGGTAGAGGCGGTGGCACCGAAGCAGGACCCAAAATCTAAATTCAGGGGGGTTACCAAGTACTGTGCTTTCACGGGCCTGTTTTTTTTCTTTTTTAATTCTCACCCGGGGATATGTTTATTGATTTTAGAGAGAGGGAGGGAAGAAAAACGAGAGAGAGAGAGAGAAAGAAAGAAAGGCATCAATGTGAGAGAGAAACATTGTTCAGTTGCCTTCAATACGTGCTCCAACCAGGGGTCAAACCTGCAACCTAGGTATGTGTCCTGATGAACCAAACCCTCAGCCTTTCGGTGTACTAGATGACACTCTCACCAATTAAGCCACTGGCTAGGGCAACAGCTGCTTTTATTTTACTTATTTATTTTTATCCTCACCTGAGGACATTTTTGCACTTATCTTCAGATAGAGCAGGAGGGAGGGAGGAACATCGATGTGAGAGACACACATCAAGTGGTTGCCACCCACACATGACCCCAACTGGGGCAGGAGACAGACCACAACTGGAGGTACATGCCCTTCATGGGAACCGAACCCAGGACTCTCCCGTCCGCAAGCCGACACTAACCACTGAGCTAAACCAGCCACAGCACAACAGCTTTTTTTTTTTTTTATCCTCACCCGAGGACATTTTTCCATTTTTTTTTGTTCAGATAGAGTGGGAGGGAGAGAGAGAGAAACATCGATGTGAAAGAGACACATCGAGTGGCTGCCACCCGCACAGCCAACCAGGGCCGGGGACAAACTGCAACCGAGGTACGTGCCCTTAGCGGGAACCAAACCCGGGTCTCTCAGGACCGCAGGCCGATGCTCTAACCGCTGAGCCAACCGGCCAGGGCACAACAGCTGTTTTTAAATACTGGTGGTTCTATTCCTTTGACACTACGTACTTTTATAATGTGTTTATTGTTGTATGACAAAATGTTCTGATTCCTAGTGCAAAAGGTTCAATTCAGTATATGTAACTGAAGATACTCATCCACTTGTGCTCCTTTTAAAAAAATATTGGCGCTTAAAGAGCCCCCAACCCCCATCCTTTGCCAAGTCATCCATATCGTTCCTTAGGCATTGTATCTTTGTGTAGATTTTATTTACTTTTATCCTCACCCAAGGATATTTTTTTTGCATTTATCTTCAGGTGGGGGGCGGGGGAGAGACACATCAACTGGTTGCCACCCACATGACCCCAAACGGGGTCGGGGACAAACTGCAACCAAGGTACGTGCCCTTCGTGAGAACCGACCTGGGGCTCTGGTCCACAGGCCGGCACTCTAACCACTGAGCCAAACTGGCCAGGGCAGATTTTATGGTTTTTGATTTTGTGTCTATTGCAGGTTTTACATGAAAAACGCAATGTGTAGCTACAGTTTCATAGAAAAGTCAGTCTTTTAGGAAATGTTTTAAATCTTCAAAAAAAGCATCTGATAAAGCTCAACATGTATCCCTTATACTTAAGCAGCTTTAAAAAAAGGCAAGTATAGGAGGTAAAGGCTGTCATCCACAGGAAACCACCAAGACAGAGCAAACCTGACACGGAGACCCTGTGGGAGGATCCTGCTCAGACCAGGAAGAGAATAGACTGCTTCTATCACCACTGTTGATCAATGTCACCCGATTTCACAAGACCAGAGAAAGAAATATTGAAAAAAAGGGAAACAAAACAGTTATTTTTAGCAGATGATCAAACTCTATACCTAGAAAGTAACTAAAGCCCTGGCCGGTTTGGCTCAGCAGTTAAGAGCATTGGCCCAAAGACCAAAGGGTCTCGGGTTTGGTTCCTGGTCAAGGACACATACCTGGGTTGCGGGTTTGATCCCCAGGCCTGGTCAGGGTCAAGCAGGAGGCAATCGATATCTCTCTCACATTGATATTTCTCTCTCTCCCTCCCTCCTTCCCTTCCACTCTATCTAAAAATCAATGGAAAAATATCCTTGTGTGAGGATTAACAAAAGAAAAAGAGACCCTGGCCAGTTTTGCTCAGTGGTTAGAGCGTCAGCCTGCGGACCAATGAGTCTTGGGTTTGATTCTGGTCAAGGGCACATACCTCAGTTGTGGTTTATCCTCAGCCCTGGTTGAGGTCGTGCAGGAGACAACTAGTCAATGTGTCCCTCTCACACCGATGTTTCTCTCTCTCTCCCTCCCACTCTATCTGAAGATAAACAGAAAAATAACCTCAGGTGAGGATTAAAAAAAAAACTGAAGGAAAAAAAAACAAAAAATTTGCTTAAGAGAATAAATGAAGACCTGAATGTAGAATTATCATGTTCATAGATGGAAGACTTAAAATATAAACACATCAATTCTCAGCCAAACTGATCTAACTTAATGTAATTTTAACCAAAATAATTTTTAGAGTGTAATCCCAAAAAGTTAAACCTAAAAATATACAACTACAGTAAGAAAACAAAAGAAGAAAATATACAAATATTTTTTAAGCAAGACAAGCCATAAAGGAAAAGATCAAGGGATGTGGCTACCTAAAAATAAAAGCCCTCAGCCCTGGCCAGGGGGCTCAGTTGCTTGGAGTGCACTTCCGTACACCAAGGTTTTGGGTTTGAGCCTGGTCAGGGTGCATACAAGAGGGAACTGATGTTTCTCTCTCACATGGATGTCTTTTGTCTCTCCTTAAAATCAATAAAAACATCCTCAGGTGAGGATAATAAATAAATATAAATAAATAAAAACTCTCTAAACAATAAAAGATTCAAAAGAACAAAACCTAAAAACCAGGGAAGAAACAGGTTGATGTTTCCATATTTTAAAAAAAACCTTCATAAATCAGTATAAAACCCACAGCAACACAGGAAGTCAGGCAGCTGCCCGCAGGCGGTTCTCGGCGCAGCGCGGTGACTTGAAGCACCCTCAGTGGCAGGGGTTAGACCGGAGACAGAACCAGAAGGGTCAGCGAACAAAATAGTTACTTTAGGGGTGGGAATGCAGAGACTAAAATTTTCTACATTTTACATTTCTACAATGTTTGGATTTTACAAAGTGAAAATACATTACTTTTGTAACTAAAAAATAAATAAAATGAGCCACTTCCCATCTTCCTTTCATGAGATTTTACAAAGATTTGTTTACTACCTCTTGGTCCAGGTTATATTCTTCATTTGAATTAAGTGCAACCTTCACAGTAATATAATCCCCATTTTTCACAGCATCCCTTAATAAATCTAAAACGAAAGAAAAGATAAATTAGGTTTCTTTATCTAGATTCATGAAAAGGACCCAGAACTCCCAAACTACTCACTACTGGGAATGGCATTTGTTGCAGAGAAGTTCTCATCTTCCCCATCAAGATGCTTTTGAAAATCTTCTAGTTTCATCCACTCCAGCTGCAGGTCCATGCCCAGACTCAAAATCTGCTGTCTGCCGTCTGGAACACAGAAGGGCCTTAAGATATTTTTTTCTGGACCATAAAAAAAATTTAATGCTGTTTTTTTAAATTGGTAGTGTCTTAACCAAAACTTAACATATGTCATACTACGTAACTGAGTCTTTAATGAAATTTCTGATTTTCTTTAGTGAGTAACGTGAACTATCATATTTAAGTCACTGTGCTTCAAAGGCTTAATGATAAATTAGTAATCTATTAACTATAAAATAGTAAACTAAATTCCATAAGGAGTAAGAGAATTGCTAATATTTCTTTCTTTGGCCATTCTTCTTGAACATACACTGCTTTCAATCATTTATGTAGGTAAAGTAATTGGAAATGTGCAAACCAGACCTGTGTGTAAATAAAAGTAACTGCCCACTGATCCTTCAGACTCAGCTCACCCTTCCACTGCTGAAAGCCCTCTCTGCTGAGCGCCTCCCGTGCCTGCCTCCCTCTGCGCCCGAGTCGAGTGTGGTCTCAGCTGTCTGACCCACGGACTCATCAACACTGGCTGGACGGCTCATCCCCTCATGACACTGCAGTTAAGTGAGCCTTGAGCTCAGCTCATCTTGGAGTAATTCAGAATGACAGAGAGCACAGGTAGTTAAAGGATTTTCACTTAAAACAAACTGCTCAAATGACACAGATGTTAGGCAGTTAACCTTGCCAGAGAATGGAGTTTGTAAAAGACATGCACATAAACTTTTCCCGAAGCTCTCAACTGGAATCAGCACTGCTCTTTGTCTCCTCTGAGCATGGAGACATGACAACCCAGCTTCCGGAGCCACACACCCGAATCTGGACGCCAGCTCTGCATTAGCTGTGTTGACTTGAAGTTACAGACTTAACTGTGTGACTTCAACTCACTGTACCTCCCTCTCTGAATAGAAAAAGCACCTAACACTCTGTAGGGAGTGTGTAATTATTTCCATGAATTAATGCCTTTAGATCACACAATGACTTGTGAGGTCACCGACAAGGAAAGCGAGACACATTTGTGCCAAGCCACATCTGAGTCCACAGTGGGACCTCCCCTTCCACAACTGAGACACTACAGACCACAGGAAGCACTGGGGAGCAGGACAAATAAGGAGCCATATAAATTGAGACAATGCCATCTAATTTACAGGACTGTTAAGTAACAGAACACACAGAGCTACAAATGAAGTTCTCTTCCCCATGAATCTGTGTCTATCTGGTTTTTAGATCTGTAAGGGACTGACACTGAGGTGTCTGAACAGTTCATGTACCATCCCCAGGGCCAGTTAAATGCTGTATCTTCTGCTACAGTTTTATACAGCGGCCTAGATAGGACAAGGGGGGATTCCTGCTCCTCCTTCCAAGTGGACCAAACCCAAACTGCCCTGATACACAGAAGGTCTAGTCGGACAACCTGTCCACATATGCTACATCCATTGTTCAATACAACACAACATCGTCTGCATGGAAACAGGGAGGGGGTGCAGCAGCCAGGGGCTGAACTCACTAGTTTGGCTGATGATCAGTCAGGAGCCCTGGCCACTTTGCACTAATAGGTGGCTGTTCTATAGGGATTGACCCTATGGCTTGGACAATGGGAAGCCAGGGGTAGATGATCATGGGTGAGCCCTGATGGAGTCAGGACACATGGAAAGACGTTTGGGTCCCCTGCAGGAGCCCGAGGCTCCTAACTTTTCCACATCCCATCTCATGAGGCACTGACACCCCCTGGCAATCAGGAAGGTGAAGCCCTGGCTGGGCACAACCCTTGGCAGCTGACCCTTGAGTGGATACAGCAGATGGGTGCATAGGAGTGGCCACCATAGCGCGTGGGTGGGAAGGAGTATTGCCCCGGAAATACATTGACTTGTTCAGTGAAATTAATGTCTAGGGCAACTGCCACAGGAGTCGGGGGTCACCCATCAGGACTGGTAAGGGACTGGAACATTTATTATATCTGTCCCTCCCTCCAAGTGGGTCAAACCCAAGCTAACCCCTGTTGCTATGCTAAGCAGGCTGTCACTGTTAGAGGACTAGAGAAGCTGATACCATCTACAGATACCCTTACTGAGCAGACATTGACCAGGGTCACATTTCAGAGGTCACTATGTGTTAGACTGGGCAAAAGAACATGACACTGAGTAGAGGCCCATCCCCCATAACCTGCAGGCAACAGGGCTGGTAGAAGGGAAGGAGTATTAAAGCCACAGACTTGTTACTAACAGGTCAGGTACCTTGGCCAGGGGAACTAAAGTACTGTCCCAGGCTTTCACGCATTTGAATGATCAGCCAGCAGGACCTGTTGTTCCATATACCACACTAGGGACACATGTTGAGGCACCTAATAACATAAAGGGACATAAGTCACGAGAGAGAGCCACTGTGGTCCAACGTGCTGTGCTGCTAAGAACAGGGAGCCCCTCATGCCTGGGAGAGGCGTCGTCTACAGGACTTTGTGATGAAATGTCTCACAGTGATGAGGGCGATTTGGCATCCCAGGCGAAAGAAACCACGGAATCTCCACTGGGACCCTGCTGTGCTGCCAGCTGGACCGGGGGAGAGCGCAGTCACTGCTGAGAGGGGGGAGCTGGGGGTCACGGCTGGGCGTGGCCCACTGCCAATCCATCTCCTCAGCCTGCGTCCCCCAGCCAACATGGATAGTGTGCACGTCCTGGTCAGGTGCCAGCCCTCTCTCCTCAAGACCAGCTTCGGTTCCCTGCTGGTGCGATCATCCTGCCACCATCTCTGTGCCCTCTGTTGCCCTGGAGGATGTTATATAACACACAAGGAAGCCCTTACTAAACTCACCCACATCTTCAATGTTAGCCAACAAAGCCTGTCTCTCTCTGAGTCCACTGAGCTACACAGCCTGGCACAAAGCCTGTCGTTACTGAACACTGTGATGTCCCTAATGAGAAAGCTGTCCTCCGAAACAGGGTGGCCTTGGACATTATTACCGCCTCACAAGGGAGCACCTGTGCCACTGTCCAAACAATGTATTCATACCATGAGTCTGCTAATTTATCATCTTTATTAATTCACACGAGGACACAAGTGAATATCCTGAGTGATCCAACCCCCAGCCTAGCAGACTTAATAAATTAGTGGTTCTGATCTTGGGGCTCTTGGAGAAAATGACTACTAACTCTGGGAATCATTTCCTCTGGCATGTGCCTGTACCACTGCTGTGGCGTCTCCCTCGAATGCAGCCAGACAGCTGCCAAACAAGCCATCCCACGCTGACCACCCAGGGTACATTACAGAAGAGGAGGCATGTGACATTGTAAGAGCTGGTCACAAGTGGCACAGTGTTGGAGCAGGTCATTCAGAGAACAGGACAAGCTACTGACAGCGAACTGGATGCAGACAACTGGAGGCTCCTCAACCCTCCCTTTACCTGGAAAGTACGATTTAACCACTGTTCCCACAGTTGGAGCCACTTCAGGGACGAGGCCTTGAGAGAGGAAGGTGCTATGAGAAAAGGTGGACTGAAGCCATTAAGTCCTCTCTGTAAACTTTTAAGACTTGATGGGCAGTGCGGAGACCTCCTTATCTTGCAGTCCCCCAAGATGAGCCTCATATGTAAGTTCCCTTGCTTATTCCACCTACCACCTACCAATCTGGGGTGGCTGCCTTTCAGTCTCTCCTTGACCTCTGTGAAAGGGACAGTTCAGTTGTCACCCAGGGATGCCCAGGGGAACAAACCCTTTGCTGTGTGTGCTCTTCATTGCCTGGCCTACCACACAGCAGAGCTGCCGTTTGACACCTGGCCCCTGGAAGCCGTTTCCTACTCCCCTTTGTCTACTGATCCTAGCAATTGTCCCAATTTCCTGCAAGCTCAACAATGCATCAAAAAGCATGATTTACCTGATACCCAGTGCCTAGCTGTTTTGTAGCAACAAGGCCACCCAGACTATCCACTCTGCCATATATTCTGAAACATTTAAACAATTCTCTGCAACTGCTTCAAGACCCACAACTTTATACAGTTTTATCAGATTAACCCTATTTATTCTGTCCTAGTTATAAGTACATATACATGCACTCTTTCTGTTGCCCTCACAGCCAGTGTGCCCAAGAGCCCACACGTGGCCAGCCCTCCTCAGCCAATCTCATCCCAGGGAGAGCCTCTACGATCGTCCCGTTCAGGGAGTGTCATTCACTGCAAAGTTAAAAGGACAGAATACAAGTCAGTCTGCATTTGATAATTTTCTGAAAGAAACCCATTAAAATATACAATCAGAAAAATAAAAAATAAAAATAGAATAAAATAAAATATACAACCAGGCTACTTGGCAAGAGTGGGAAAGGAAAAACACCCCAAATCTTTACAATTTCAAAATGTGCTGAGCACATTACAGGGACTCAGAAAATATTTGTGTGGTCAATTTGAAAACCACAGGATAACCTAAGTCTTCAATATAAAAAGCTGCTTATTCAGGAGACCGAAACAAAATCGTCTACACCATTCTTTTCCCATCCTGAGTTACAGTGGGAAAGGAGGGGAGAGTGAAATCACACTGCCCTGAAAACACGCACACTGACGGCACTCACCGGAGTTCTCGTCGGCGTGGCACACGCTGTCCAGCGCGTCCTGATCGCCTTCCGCAGCTATGAGTGCCCACGTGTCGGCCTCGGCTCTCGTGTCTCTCCTCTCTCTAAAGGCCTGCTTGTTTTCCTTGGCTTTGTGATCTTCTGTAAAATTACAATCCAGTGGTATTTCTTCTCTTTTCTGATTATTTTCAGGAAAATCATTTTTTTCTTCTGGAGTTAACTTAAATAAATCAAATGCATTTCTGATTTCCTTAAATGCTAGTGAAAAAAAGAGAAATGATAATGAGTAAGAACCACACATTTCTGTGGTAATCAAAGGAAAATCTGGGTTTGTATTAAAGAAACAGGGATTTTCTTAATTTTTACTAATAGCTGCTTTGGTTATAAAGCATGATTAGATTTATTACTATCAAAGCCATGAAGTTGTTTCAATTGGTTCTTCTATTGCCTGCTCAGTGTTTGAAAGGGTTTACATCCAAAGCAAATGGCTGTTTTCTGGTATTATGAACCATTCCAACTTTTGACAAGACAGTGAGCCTCAGAATAATCAGTCAAGTCACCAGCTAAGACAACTGCCTACAAGTGTATCCTGGAGCCAGCCTGGTCCACACACGATCTCTGGGCTGGGTGGGGAAATGGGAGGGCCAGGCCAGCACACTGTGGTAAGACTGCCTGATGCACGCGGAACTCCACCTGACTTTTTTTACCTGGAGAAGCAGGTGAAAAGACCGGCAGAGCACTGATCTCACATAACCACCTGACAGGGGCAGAACACGACAAAATCAGGAAGAACTCTGTTATAAACTCTGGACACATAGCAAGCAGGTCAGTGTTATTAGTAGAGGATACTGAAAATCAGACTTCCAGTATCATTATAAATGGAATGAGTAGTTGTTCAAGATGACACACTCACAGTAAAAATGTACCTGACATTGACATATAAGATAGCAGGGGAAGAAAAAATTAACAACTCCAATTACACAAAATTTTGAATCTTCAATCACTTCCTGATGAACAAATGCTTAAAATTATTGTATTACTTTGAACAGACTTAGTGTTTAAATGATTAATCACTCAATGCATTATCCATTGAAACAAAAACTGCTCCTTCCTAGCTTCCACCCCTTGCTACTTACTCTGAAGTTCCAGCCCAGACCAGGTGTAGAACCAGAATTTACATTGTTTTCATCCTTACCATTTTTCCATTGATTTTTAGAGAGTGGAAGGGAGAGATGGAGAGAGGAAAAAAGAGAGAAACATTGATGTGAGACAAACACATCGACTGGTTGCCTCTTGCATGGGCTAGGGGTGGAAATCAAACCTGCAACCCAGGTACGCGTCCTTGACTGGAATTGAACCCACAACTCTCTGACAGGCCGACTCTCTAACCTCTGAGCCAAACCGGCCAGGGCCAGAATCTACTTTTAATACTACCTCAGTTACATGTAGCTTTTGGGAGAAAACCCAGAGGAACGTTCTATCTCCTGGAATCACTGCTCCCATGAAAACATGTGTTCAAGTGTGTTAGTGCCCTGGTCGGTTTGGCTCAGCGGTTAGAGCGTCGGCCTGCGGTCCAGAGAGACCAGGGTTCGGTTCCTGCTAAGGGCATATACCTCGGTTGCAGTTTGTCCCTGGCCCTGGTTGGGTCGTGCGGGTGGCAGCCACTCGATGTGTCCCTTTCACGTCGATGTTTCTCTCTCTCTCTCTCTCCCACTCTATCTGAACAAAATATCAAAAAATGTCCTCGGGTGAGGATAAAAAACAAAAAACAAATCAAGTGTGTTAGTGCATGAACTAAAGTACCCTCTGGGGCTTATTCAAACACTGTAATGGGGGCTCTTCTAGAAAGTACTTGTCCCAGTACCAAGTGCATTACGGATTCTCAATTATGGTATATATTACTGTGATCCAAAATGTATATTAAACATTATGTTTGTACAACTGACACAGCTAAATACAATAGACATAGTAAATAGCAGTTTGTCTCATCTGGCATCCATCATAAAAGAGATTTACTTTTCTGCCACAGCTAACTTCCTGTCTCTAACTTTAATTATTCCACTGTCATACTCAAAAGGAGAGAAAACAAGGTGAATAGAAGAAAAAAAAAATACATTAGAAACAACATAAACTGTTATATAAAAAACTAAGATAACCGGTTAAACAAAAGTAGCTCAAGGTTCTAAACTGCCCGGTGAATAAAGTTTTCCCGTTCTGAGGCATCTCTAGAACTTCCAGACAAGATGGCAGTGTAGATAAATGTGGTACTCAAATCCTCCCACAACCACATCAAATTTATAACTAAACTACAGAACCACCATCATTCAGAACTCACTTGAAATCTAGCTGAATGGAAGTCCTATAACTAGGGATTTAAAAAAGACAACATATCAAGACTGGTATGAGGGCAGAGACTTGGAATAGGCGAGTCCCACACCGACGTGTAGTGGTTTAAAATCAGGAGGGATGGCCAGGGCAGGGATGGCCTTGACCAAATAGCTCAGATGGTTACAGCATCGTCCTGATATGCCAAGGTTGTAGGTTTGATCCCTGGTCAGGGCACATATAAGAATCAATCGGGCCCTGGCCGGTTTGGCTCAGTGGTTACAGCATTGGCCTGCGGTCCGGGGAGACCCGGGTTCGGTTCCCGCTAAAGGGCATGTACCTCGGTTGCAGTTTGTCCCCGGCCCTGGTTGGTCGTGTGGGTGGCAGCCACTCGATGTGTTCCTTTCACATCGATGTTTCTCTCTCTCTCTCTCTTCCTCTCTCTCCCTCCCACTCTATCTGAACAAAAAAAATGGAAAAATGTCCCCGAGTGAGGATTAAAAAAAAAAAAAAAAAAAAAAAGAATCAATCGGCCCAACCAGTGTGGCTCAGTAGCTGAGCTTTGACCCATGCACCAAGAGGTCACCAGTTCGATTCCCAGTCAGGGTACGTGCCCAGGTTGTGGGCCTGATCCCCAGTGGGCAACATGCAGGAGGCGGCCAATCGATGTTCTCTCTCATTGATGTTTCTACCTCTCTCCCTCTCCCTTCCTCTCTCTAACATCAATAAAGAAAAAAAAAACACCAAAAATCAACAAATGCATAAATAAGTGGAACAACAAATTGATGTTTCTCTCTCTCTAAAAATAAATTGATAAAATAAAATAAAATCAGGAGGGATATCTTAGCTATGGAGGTCCCCCCTGAGGAGCAAGGGGTTCCAGCCCCATATCAGGCTTCCCACCCCAGCATTCCAGTGCCAGAAAGTCCCCACGTCGTCAGGCTGTCAAAACCAGCAGGGACAGTGGCTGAGGAATATGGAGAGTTACTGTAGTCCTAGGCATTTCTTCTTAAAGGGTCCACGAAAAAACATACTTGGACTCACCCCCTCTGAGCTGCAGCACAGGGCAGCAGGTTGAAAGGAACCAGGACATACGGGAGGGAACTGAATTGTCTGGCATCAGGGCAAGAGCTTGGGGTTGGCGGGGTGAGCTTTCTGTCCAAAAAAAAGTGCTGGCAGAAGCCATATCCGAGTCTCCATTAACCTATCTCCCGCGCTTGGCCCCACCCTGGTGATTCTGAGACCCCGCCCTACCCAACTTGTGGGCCCCCACCCAAGCCATTTCTAGTGGCTTTCCCCTACAAATGGCCTCTCTTGCCTCATGCTTTGAACTTACCTAAAATCTCTCAAACAAGCAGCAGCTGGCCTCTGCATACGCCATACCTCTTGCCAAGTGGCCCCAAGCCAGCCTTGGTTTGCAGCTTGACCTCTCCTGGGCACCTCCAAGCCCAGCTGCCATGTGCAGATTGCTCTGTAGCTTGTGCCAAATGGCTGACCTTGTACTTTTCAGGAGGCCTCAGAGTCAGGGTACTCAGTGGATAGTGGCAGACCACACCAGATTACAACCCTACCACCTCCACAAGCAACACACTCTAGGGGAAGACTTGGTGAGCACCAAAGCCCCACGGAAGCAAGTCCTGCTCATAGGATTGACTCCTCTACTATAGTTGCAGCTGGTCCCTGCCAATGAACCTGGGGGTCAGTCCCTTCTAGTGATGCCAACAGCAATCAAGGCTGAACTACAACAGGACAGTACACACAGCCCACACAGGGGCACACCTAGAGTTCCCAGCTCAGGTGACTGGGGAGGCTTTGCCACGGGGCCCCACAGAACACCCACTACATAAGACCACTCTACCAAGTCCAGGAGACATAATAGCTCTAATACATAGAAACAAACATAGGGAAGCAGCTTAAAATGTAGAGATAAACAGGTCCCAAGTGAAAGAATGTGAAATTGCCAGAAAAAGAACTAAATGAAATGGAAGCAAGCAAACTACCAGATACAGAGTTCAAAACAATGGTTATAAGCATGAAAAAGAACCAGTCAGATATGAAGGATACACTAACTGAAATGAAAAATAATTTATAGAGAGTCAACAGCAGAGTAGATGGTGCTGAGAATCAAATCAGTGACATGAAATACAAGGAAGTAGAAACAAGCAAACAAAAACACCTAATCATAAGAGCAAAAAGAAAAAAGAATCCCCAAAAAATGAAGATAGTGTAAGGAGCCTCTGGGACAACTTCGTGGCTCAGTGGTTAGAGTGTCATCCTGTGCACCAAAGGGTCAGGGGATCAATTCCTGGTCAAGGGCACGTACCTGGGTTGTAGGTTTGATCTCCAGCCACAGTGCGGGAGGCAACCAATTGCGCGCTCTCTCTCCCTCTTCCTCCTTTCCACTCTCTAAAAAAAGAAAAAAAGATAGAAAACATTCCTAACCTGGTGAAGGAAATAGACATACAAGTCCAGGAAGCATAGAGTCCCAAACAATATGAACCCAAAGAGGTCCACACCAAGACACATCATAATTAAAATGCCAAAAAGTCAAAGACAAGGAGAGAATCTTAAAAGCAAGAAGAGAAAGCCCGGCTGGTGTGGCTCAGTGGATTAAGTCTCCTCCCATAGCCTGAGAAGTGAGCAAGAGAAAAGCTTCCATAAGACTGTCGGCCAATTTCTTAAAAGAAACTTTGCAGGCTAGAAAGGGGGTGACAAGAAATATTCAGAGTGGTGAAAAGCAAGGACCTACAACTGAGAGTACTCTACCCAATAAAGCTATCATTTAGAATCGAAGGACATAGCCCTGGCTGGTGTGCACTCAAGTGATCAGAGCCTCAGCCCGCACACTGAAGAGTCTCGGGTTTAACTCCCAGTCAAGGGCACTGGCCCAGCTTCGGTTCAGTCCCTGGCCCCAGTTAGGGTTGTGTGGAAGGCAACCAATCGATGTGTCTCTCTCACATCAATGTCTCTCTCTCCCTCCCTCCTTCCCTTCCCCTCTCCTACTCTATCTAAAAGTCATGGAAGAATATCCCTGGGTGAAGATTAAAAAAGAAAAGAATTGAAGGATATATATAGAACTTCCCAGATTAGAAAAAGCTAAAGGAGTTCATCACCACCAAACCAATATTACATGAAATGTTAAAAGGTCCTCTTTTAAGAATAAAAAAATAGTTTAAAAATATGAACAATAAAATGGCAATAAATAAATATCTATTAACAACTGAATCTAAAAAAAACCAAACAAACAAGCAGAACAGAAACAGACTCATAGATACATAGAACATTTTTTAAGGTTGCCAGATGAGAGGGGAGTTGGGGGGATGGGTGAAAAAGGTGAAGGGATTAAAAGTACAAACTGGTTGTTACAGAATAGTCATGGAATGTATAGTACAGCATTGGGAATATAGTCAATAATACTGTAATGGTGTCAGATGGGTATGAGATTTAATGGGATGATCACTTAGTAAGTTATGTAATGTCTAATCACTGGGGTGTATACCTGAGACTAATATAATATTGCATGTCAACTGTAATTGAAAATTTTAAGTGATTAAAAATAATAATTTTTTTAAAAAAAGGAATTTTCCAGTTCTGTGACATTGCAGGTTAGAAGAGAGCGGTCTCACCGTTAACTAAAGTCCTTGTATAAAAGATGGCAATGGTAAAGGGTAGTATTAACACTCACTCTTGAATCCCTTTGGCTCTTTTCGGCCTTTTTCTTCCTTGTCCAAATCAAGCCTTTTTGGGTATTTTTCTTTGAGTTCATTTTTTTTGGACTCTTTTTCCTGAAAGAGACACATGTAAGACCCAGAACAGGAACAGATAAGAGCTAATACCAATGGACAGTGATGCCTCTGTGCACCATGGAGCCTGACCCTAATCTTGTTCACATCAACGCTTCCCCAATCAAGATGGTCCCTCAACCACAATTTACAAAACATCAAATTCAAAATCCAACACCAATTTCCTCAACTCTCTATTAGGAACTTTTATTATTTAAAATAAAAAAAATTCCAGAAAAATTTTACCCTACAATCCTAACTAACCAAACATGACTTTTAATTTCTTCTATACATTCTGCCTTCTGAGCTTTCTAATTTTGCACAGTTTGCTTAAAATTAATTTTTAAAATTTACATTGCATAGATATTTTTACATGACTATGTTTATATGTATGTATGGTTTTCTTCATAAAATTTTGTAAACTTTTATTTTGGTTATTTTGCTACACTAATCTCATAATTAATATTTTCATGGATATATAATAGTTCACAAGTTGACACAACTTTTTCTTTTTTTTTTTTATGAATTTTTTATTTATTTTTTTGTTACAGATATTTTACCTTTTTACTCCATTGGCACCCCCCACCCCTTCCCACCTCCGCCCCGTCCCCGACTTAGTTGTCCATGTCCATTGGTCATGCATACATGCATATAAGTTCGACACAACTTTTTCTTAACCATTTCACTTAGAGCTAGACAGTTAGACTGGTATCAGTTTTAGTGAAGATAACACTGCCATAAATATCTTTGTCTACATAGCTCTTTCTCCTCTGAAAATGATTTCCTTAAGCTAAATCTACAAAACTGGGAATAATGAATGAAAATAAATTACCGGTTTTATAGCCCTGATATATGAATACCTTCATAATGTGGAAAATATTACCATTTTGAAAACCCACACAAGTATAATTTTATAAGGAGATAAATATATTTTTGTAAGAAAAGACTTAATGTTAGTGCACCGTGCACATTATTATTTAAATGAAAAGTAGTATATTCTTATTCCGTAAGATCTTAACACAGTTCTTCAACACCCCCCCAATACTCACTTCTCCAGCTGAGTCAGTGGACCGGAGGCCCCTCTCTTCCCCACCCATCCTTGAGCTCTTTTGGGTCTGGGCAGGTGCAGATGTCAGATTATCTGACTCTGTGGTACTTCTGCTTTTGTCTTGATTCCTTTGCTTCTTGTGTGCATTCTTCTTCTCTAAAGACAGGTTCTTACTTTCTAGCTTTCTGCTCTCTCTGAGTTCCTCAGCCTTCCTGGGTTTCTTTCTGTTCCTCTTCCCTCGGACGTCAGCACCCTCATCAGCACTTCCGGAGCTGTCCAGGTTTTTATCTAGAACAGCATCATGACCTGTGTCTGGCCCTGCCTTTTCTTTTCCACTTTTAATCTTCAGTTTCTCTTCTCGGTTTTCAGACTCTAAATCTTCACTGTCCCCCTCATGAAAGGGGGGATCATCAAGTAGACCTGATTCAGATTCAAAGTGAGATTCAACACATTTCTCTTTTTTTGTTTTTCTGTTTTCTTTGGAATCTTCTTTTATTTTACTCTTTAAATCTTTTATTTCACCCTTTTTAACTTTCTTTAATTCCTTAGTTTCTTTTATATCATCTTTTTTGGGCTTTTTGGATTCCTTTAATTCTTCTTTGGCTTCTGAAATTCTTTTCTTTGTCCTCAAATCAAAAGCGGAAATTTCAGAGCTCTCCCATTCTGGTTTGGATTTCTCTTTCTGTTTTCCAGTCTTTGCTTTTTTCTTCTTCAGATCATCTGGGCTTTTCTCTTCTCTCTGCCTTACTTTTTTCTTTTTCTTTTTTGGAGAAGTATCTTCTTTTGTCTCACTTTGCTGATCACTATCAGAGTTTGCCTCAAATATGTCATTATTTAAAGACAGTCTCTGTAAAATAGAAAAGATTTAAATGCTCATTAATATAGTAATTTGAAAGGTTTTGAAAAGAAGTACTTAATGATATATGGTAGAAATGTCTTTTTCCTCAGCAGTTTCTCAACTCCTTAAAATTACTTACCTAAACAGAAGTTGCTTCTGATTTAGCCAATAAGTCTTAGTGGTGATGATGAGGCTCAACATAAGAAAATAGATGAGGCCCTGGCCAGTTTGGCTCAGCGGTTAGAGCGTCGGCCTGCGGTCCAGAGGGACCCGGGTTCGGTTCCCGCTAAGGGCACGTACCTCGGTTGCAGTTTGTCCCCAGCCCTGGTTGGTCGTGTGGGAAGCAGCCACTCGATGTGTCCCTTTCACGTTGATGTTTCTCCCTCTCTCTTTCTTCCTCTCTCTCCTTCCCACTCTATCTGAACAAAAAAATGGAAAAATGTCCCCAGGTGAGGATAAAAATAAACAAATAAAAAAGAAAGTAGATAAGCACAGACAGAGGGACAAAAACTGTTCACACTGCTGAAGGTCCAAAACTAAAGCAGAAGTGAACAGTAACAGTCTTATGTTTGGTGATGGTGATGCTGGTGGTGGTGGTGGGGTTGTACATGATTTGAACCTAAAACACCAAGTAAGTAATTGGTATAGACTTTCTTGGTTGCCAAAAACGTAGTTACTAATCCAAACACAAAGGTTTCTTTTTGTTAGTTTGTTTCTTTTAAGATGTTAACACTTGCTGTTAAACTTCACTGATATATATGAAATGAGCAAAGATGGCACCCATATCTCACCTCCACCAACTGATTTGTTATATACAGTTGATCCTTGAACAGCACAGGAATTAGGGGCACCAATTCCCTCACTCTCAAAAATTAGAGTATAACTTTGAACCTGCCAAAACTTTACAGTCATACCTGGTTCTAGGACGGACCCCCACCCTCCATGGATACAAAGATCCATAGACGCTCAAGTACCTTATATAAAATGGCATAGATCAATGTATACATAGTGAGCCCTCACATCCATGGACTCCCATGGTAGAAGCTGCAAATATGAAAACTGAGAATATGGAGGGCTGGCCAATGGTATATTTGCTGAGAAAATCCACATATAAGTGGCCTGTGCAGTTCAAACCTATATTGTTCAAGGGTCAACTATACTTCAAATTAGGTATGAAGGGACGGACAGGGAGGCAGAGAGAAAATAGATACTAATTAACAAATAATGAAACTATTTACCAAATTGATATAATCACTGATAAGAAAAACAAAAGAATTAATCTAAGTAACTTTAACATCAAACACCCTCAATAAATCTGTAAGTACAAAAAACCCTGCAAATAAATTTGGAATTTTACAGTAAGACAGGTGTAACAAACCCGAAGCTAACTCCTAATCGTTGCTGTACTAAGTCAGTACAGATAATGTTGATGGCAACCAGTGCAGTGTTCTCAGGGTATAAAAAGGGAGCTAGAACGATGACTACTGAGAATGAGAGGAGGACCCTGTAGTGACTGACTGAAATGATAGATATCAATATTAATTTATGATTTACAACAAACGTACTTTTTCATTTAGCTTTGTCTACTTAAAGGGCTTAGAAATAATGGTACCCCAGTAGCAGTAAGCACACCTTGGCTTCTAAACCCTCTTGCCCTCTAAAGAAAACCAGGGCTGCAGCAGAAAAGTTCACGGCAGTACTGGGGCACATGGTGCCAGGAAGCAAGGACGTGCTCAAAGCTGACAAGGGAATATCAAAAGGACACAGGAGCTGGCTTGATGGGGCTCCCAATAGACAACTTTGGAACCATTTCAGCATTAACATGAGTAACAGCAATAATGGACATCACACACTGACTAAAAAGATTCCATAAGCATACCGACACTAAGAAAACTTAAGGGAGAAGGAGGAGCTGTCTATAGACACAGACTGAAAAATACACAATTAGAAAAATCAATATTTTGCAACCACCACAGTAATAATGAATTGAGGCAATAATCATCCATGTATTTTGAAATCATGTGCTGAGAGATTGATGGGGAGTAAGAGATTCTCAGTTTTAAAGAGTACTTATTATTAGATTATTTATTATCATAAGGGTAAAAAGGTATTTTTAAAAAGGGAGAAAAGCCCTGGCCAGTTTGGCTCAGCGGTTAGAGTGTCAACCCGCGGTCCAGAGAGACCCGAATTTGGTTCCCGCTAAGGGCGTGTGCCTCGGTTGCAGTTTTTCCCTGTCTCTGGTTGGGTCGTGAGAGTGGCAGCCACTCGATGTTTCACGTTGATGTCTCTTTCTCTCTCTCTTCATCTCTCTCCCTCCCACTCTATCTGAACAAAAAATGGAAAAATGTCCTCAGGTGTGGATAAAAAAAAAGTGGGAGAAAAAAATAATGGGCCTCATTATCACATAAGTGTAATTTAAAATCAGCAATAAATTAGGAATTTGACATCTTATCTTTTTTTTTTTTAAATTCTCACCCGAGGACACACTGAGAGGAAGGGAGAGAAAGAAACATCAATGTGAGAGAGAAACATCAATCGGTTGCCTTCCATACATGTCCCAACAGGGGACTGAACTTACAACCCAGGCATGTATCCTGACTGAGAACGAACAGGCAACCTTTTGGTGCACAGGACATCGCTCAACCAACTGAGCCACTCCAGCCAGGCTGACATCGTATCTTTTTTTTTTTTATCCTCACCTGAGGACATTTTTCCATCTTTTGCACAGATAGAATGGGAGGGAGAGAGAGAGAGAAACATTGACGTGAAAGGGACACATCGAGTGGCTGCCACCCGCACGACCAACCAGGGCCAGGGACAAACTACAACCGAAGTACGTGCCCTTAGCGGGAACCGAACCCGGGTCTCTCCGGACCGCAGGCCAATGCTCTAACCGCTGAGCCAAACTGGCCAGGGCAAGTAATGACTTTATTTATTTATTTTTTTTATCCTCACCCGAGGATATTTTTCCATTTTTTTGTACAGATAGAGTGGGAGGGAGAGAGAGGAAGAGGGAGAGAGAGAGAAACATCGATGTGAAAGGGACACATCGAGTGGCTGCCACCCGCACGACCAACCAGGGCCGGGGATAAACTGCAACCGAGGTACAGGCCCTTAGCGGGAACCGAACCCGGGTCTCTCCAGACCCCAGGCTGACGCTCTAACCGCTGAGCCAAACCGGCCAGGGCTTGTATCTTGATGTGATTAATGTACACTACTACTGAACTAAACAAGAGAACAAATCGTCTTATTCCAATTTTTAAAAAATACTGTTTATTTGTGATTTAACATTAATTAACATTCATTTAATTCCAATTTGAACGTTGTATAAAACAACAGGCCTAGACTCATAAAAAACTGTCTACATCATGAAAGACAAAAGGTTATGGAAGTGTTTGAGGACAGGAAACTAGAAGGACATGAGATGAAATGCCCTGAATGACAGGAAGCAGTCATAGACCTTCAAGGACAATGTGGGAACCCAAATGAACACAGCAGTGTGTCAGTTGGACATCAGACAACAGTGTAGCTGATGTGACACTACTGATGTGTCACAGTGAGGAATCTGAACATCGTCCCATGGACTGAGAGGTCCCAGTTCAATTCCCAGTCAGGGCACAAGCCCAGGTTGTGGGCTCAATCCCCAGTAGGGGGCATGCAGGAGGCCGTCAATCAATGTTTCCGTTTCACATCGATGTTTCTCTCTCTCTCTCTAAAAAAAAAAATCAATAGACATTTAAAAAATAAAATAAAATAGATGTGTTTTTATTTTATTATTATTATTTTAATTGATCTTAGAGAGGAAAGAGAGAGAGAAACACCGATGTGAGAGAGACACATCCAACAGTTAGTTGCCTCCCACATGTTCCCCAACTGGAGACTGAATCCGCAACCCAGGTATGTGCCCTAACTGAAAACTGAACCTACACTACCCCAGTGCATGGGACCAACTGAGCCTCAGTCCTGAAGAGTCTACCTCTGCCATCCATCTTCTTAAAAATCATGCTGCTAGTCCTGGCTGGTTTGGCTCAGCAGTTAGAGTGTCGGCCTGCAGACCAGAGAGTCCCAGGTTCGGTTCCTGCTAAGGGCATGTACTTCAGTTGCAGTTTGTCCCCGGCCCCAGTTGGGGTTGTGTGGGTGGCAACCACTTGATGTGCCTCTCCCATATCGATGTTTTTCTCTCTCTCTCTCCTCCCTTATCTCCCTCCCGCTCTATCTGAAGATAAATGCAAAAATGTCCTCGGGTGAGGATTTAAAAAAAGAAAATCATGCTGCTAAGGACTGGTGTTGACCTTATTTCCAAACTGAACAGCCTGGTTTAACTTACATTTATCACAATGATAAAGGGAAAGGAAGGGGAAACGAAGAGGAATACATTTAATCTTGCTAGGTGTATGATTCATATTACTTCAAAAGTATTTTAAACAAAATTTATAAAATGGATTTAAAAAAAAATTCTTACTATCAGATATTACTTGGAACACAGTAATTAAAAATAAACACTATTATGCATCCTCTACCAATTCCCTTTTACACTTCCAGCCCAGGGTGTGTACAGGAGGCAATTGATCAGTTTCTCACATCAATGTTTCTTTCTCTCAAAAATAAATCAAAACGAAAACAAACAAACAAAAAATATCCTCGGGTGAAGATTAAAAAATAAAAATAAGATGAACAAAGCAATTTTCTCCTCCTGACTCTATTTCTCTATCTACAGACAAAGAATCACGACAGTTTATGAATGGCAAAACTAGCACGTCAGCCACCAGTTGCATTTTTGCCATATTCCTGTCTATTGACATCATCTCAATGATTAGGCAAAAGAGTCATAACAATATAAATACTGGAATACTTTATAAACAACAATCCATGATAAAGCTAACCTGATACAGAAAATCGAAATTTCACGCTTATAAAGATTTAAAATGTTAGTAGTGCCTGTAATGTTAAATTATTTATGAAATAGGAAAGTTAATTTACAAAAGGATACTTTATTTAATTTTTTATCT